AAAGTATATTTATTCCATTTCTGCTGTTGTGAATTTTGATCACTTGGTTTAGGTGTTTTCCATCAGAATCTCTCCATTGTAGAAGTACCTTTTCCCCTTTGTAATTAATATGTTAGTTGGTAGGTGATCCTTTGAGACCATCTGAATATCCTATTCCCCAACAACCTTTCTTTTTTTTTTAAAAAGATGACCGGTAAGGGGATCTTAACCCTTGACTTGGTGTTGTCATCACCACGCTCAGCCAGTGAGCGAACCGGCCATCCCTATATGGGATCCGAACCCGGGGCCTTGGTGTTATCAGCACCGCACTCTCCCGAGTGAGCCACAGGCCGGCCCCTGAATTTTTTTTAAAAACCATTTTTAATATAGGCAAATAGATCATTCTTTGGTATTGCATAGCTAATTCAAGGCAGAGTTATTACTCCTTTGGATGTGGCTGCACAAAACCACAAACCACTGAATAGTACTAATAGTGCAGCTCTAGGATTTACAGCTATGCTACTATGTAAAGTTAACCTCACCTGGCTCTTCAGACAACAGTGAGAGGTAGGCAGGTACTATCTCTATTCTCAGGTAACGAAGTTGAGCTAAAAGGGTTAGTTAGAAAGGAAGCTATGGAGCTGGCCCGGTGGCGCACTTGGTAGAGGGCAGCGCTTGGGAGTGTGGCGGCGCTCCCGCCGAGGGTTCGGATCCCATATACAGACTGGTGCCCTCACTGGTTGAGCGCGGTGCGGGCGCAACACTGAAGGTTGCGATCCCATTGCCGGTCACGAAAAAAGACAAAAAGGAAAAAAAAAAAAAAGAAAGGAAGCTATGAATGGATTTGGCACGCATTTTTAAATATAGTATTTATCCTCAAAGAGCACCCTCTGAAAAGTAAAGTAACAGAAACTTTCAAGCCAAAATCCAAGTATTTAGCACATACGTTTCTAAAATAGATACTTTATTAGTGGCCACCCCAATTTAGCAGAATGCTATGTCAATGGGAAGGCTCTGGAGTTAGATCAGAAGACAAATTCCACCTCTGCCATCCATTTTCTTTGGAAACTAACTCCCATGAGTTGTTTGATATAACTGTGTACTTTGGGATAAGTTATTTATTTCTCTGAACCTCAATTTTTCCCCTATAAAATGGGAGTAATAATACCTACCACATACCTAACAACAGCTAGCATTTATTATACGAGGGTACTTCAAAAGGCTTCTGTAAAAACAAGTGAAAGATAATAGGAATTTTTCCATGAACTTTTTGAAGTACCCTTGCACTTAATGTGTGCCAGTCACTATACCATGTCACGTGGATGTGCTACCCCCTCTATGGTTAGGTTTTTTTGGTTTTTTTTTTTTTTTTTTGGTGGCTGGCTGGTATGGGGTTTTGAGCCCATGACCTTGGAGTTATAAGGCTGTGCTCTAACCAACTGAGCTAACCAGCCAACCCCTAGGTTTTATTATTGCAGTTTTTACAGATGAGGCTACTAGGACACAGAAGGGTTAAATAATTTGTCAAAGTCATGCAGCAAATAGGACAAATGTAAACCCTAGTTGTCTGTCTTCAGAATCCACACTCATAACTACTGTGCCCCACCTCCTGCAGTGGAAGCTCACATACTTAGAACAGGCACTCAGTACAATGCGTGGCTCGCTGCAGGAATCCCACAAACATATGTTCATTTTTTCTGTTCCCAAAAATACTAGGAAAAGCCAAGAGAAAAAACAGTGGCTACAAGACTTAGAAACTACAGTGGATCAGATCATTAGTACCTCATTATAAAATATCACCGGTTTTGTAAAGTGCAAAATTTATGCTGTAATTGTAGCAATCATGATTCCAGCTCTCTTCCTGGCACATGGTAAGACTGCACTTTATGCCCTCTCTGGGATGTACTGGGCAATGTGACTAATTCTGGACAATGAGTTAAGCAGAAGTAACACATACCATTTCCAGCCTGGAATTTTGTTGTTGCTGTTGGCTTGTACAGGGATCAAACCCCAGACCACGGTGTTATGCTCTAACTAGCCAGTGCAGCCTGGAATTTTTTTTTTTTTTTTTTTTTTTGTGGCAGCTGGCTAACATGGGGATCTGAACCCTTGACCTTGGTGTTATACACTGCACTCTAACCAACTAAACTAATCAGCCAACCCTAGCCTGGAATTTTTAAACTGATGGTTTAAGACCCTCCAAAACTCTCCCCCTCTGCAACAGCAATCAGTCTACAATGACCAGACTTCTCTGCTGACTTGAGATGAACAATGTAGTGTGACTGAGAAATAAATCTTGTTGTTTAAGCCAATGAGATGTATTCCACAGCCTAACCTAGCCCACCCTGAACCATAAAGTAAACTAAAAATCATCTCCTATGAGTAGCTAATATGTTCTCTTTTAATTATATTAATACAACCAAGTTTCAACTTTTGAACAATGTTATCAGTAAGTATATTGGACAAAAGAAAGAGATATATTTACCTAAGGTCCTCCCTGCCCCAAGGGCCAAGCGAATATGAGATAGTTTTAGGTGTCTTTTGATTCGCTCAATCATGGTTGCCAGGGAGACAGATTCATCCAGTGTGCATAACCGTCCCATTCCAGTATTTAGAAGCAAAGGCTGAGGAGAAGCAGAAGTTAGAAACACTGCTCATTATCAGTCCTAAAAAAACACACCTATAGAACAAACAGCAAATCCTGAAATCAAACATGCACACTCTGAACTTAGTGTAGCAAGCTCCAGGCTAACATTTGGGGATGCAAACTTGACAAAAACACCCATAAATATGTATAATCAATATGTTTCAATAAAAATTTTTTTAAAAACTTGACAAAAACATTCAGACTTCTAGGATCTCATAGCCTCCTAAGGCAGATTTTTAAATAAATAATCATAATAAAAGTGTTTAAATACAAGTTAGGTGCCACTGCTATGGGAGCACAAAGTAATGACAAACTAAATGAGCTGGGACTTGTCGGGGGAGGGGTCTTGTGGGAAGTGAAGAGGAATCAAACAAGGTTTTATAAGGATTTGGGTCTTACAGAAAAATTAGAATGGAGTTAAAAAAAAAAGGCGTGGTGATGTCAAGTGCAGTGTGGCTTGGGGTAGAATGAGATGTGGAAAGACATTCTAAAAAGAGCATGTATGAAGGTATCAGGTGTGAGAGCACCCTGTGAGGGCAGATCCAGAAGTGGACACTGTGGTTCGTGTGCAGAGCAGGTGATGGGGAGGGAGATGAGGCTGGAGACGTGAGCTGCAGCCAGATCATTAAGGGTTTTGTACACTATGATGAAAAGCCTGGACTGCCTCCTTGTAGTCCAGGGGTAGACTACAAATATCCCAAGTGAGGGATGATGTAAGTTTCAGCTACTGTGGTGGCAGAGCTAATAGGGGAGAAACATTTTATAGGTATAGATTCTGTTTTGGGACAGAATCAACATAGCAAGGGAGGAGTTGTGGAAACTTGGAAAATAAGGTAGATGATGATACCTTGGTGATACCTTAATAAGAAACAGGAAAAATAAGGAAAACTATAAAGGGGTAGGGCAGGGGGATGGTCAGTACGTGTATATATTGGATTTGAAATACTTATGAGATCTGTTAAGTGGAAAATGTCCAGAAAGTAGTTAGAAATATGGGTGCTTTTTTTTTTTTTAACCTTAAGCAAGTATTCTGAGCCAGAAAGTAAAAATATGAGAATAACCATCACCCAATGGCTGTAAAATTAAAGGAGTGAATGAAACAGTTCAGGCAGAGGCTATAAAACAAGAAGAGATCAAACTCATAACCCTATAACCAAGTCTGTAACCCTGAAGAAGTACCAACATTTTCCTATTCCTGCAATGTCTCCCTTTCTCAATATACTTTCCGAGGTATATTATGCCCTCACCCCCACTTTGTACCTTGTAGGGAAAGTGAAGGAAAATGGTCAAGGACCCTCAGATGTTCAGAATCTGGCCAATCATTTGATGTAAATATGTACATGTGCCCAGGTTTTCTTGGTTATTGTCTAGTGTAATTGCACATGTGCTCCCAGGTGTCCTGGGTTATGGACTTTTGGTATAAAGGACGAGTGGCTCTGATCCATGGAGCCCCTCGCTCCCAGGACACCTCTAGGAGGGCCACTACTGCTGCTGTTGCTAAGGGCTGAGCTTGTGTCGTCTGCCAACAGCTCCCAGGATCTTTCCCAATTACCTAGCGTGGATCTGCGTGTGAGGGGTCTGGTGACTCAGCCTGTACAACGGGTTTGAAGGGTCTGGGCCCTAGCCTTAACCTGACAATACAGTTGGCTATGTCAGCAGGATTCCGACAATAGCCTACCCATACAATTGGCATAGTCACTTAACCCTACGTACCTCTTTAGGTAATAGTTAATGGCCTGTTGATCGAACACTTTACAAATGAATTTGCTGAACAAAAACGCAGAGTAATGAAACTCATCAAATTGTACACATTAAATATGTGCACTTCTTTGTATATCAATTATACCTAAATAAAGCTGTTTTAAAAAATGCACAGTAATGTAAGATCGAACATAAAATATTTTTATTACCTTCTCTAGTGACAGAATTTCAGTCTTCTGATAAAGTTGTCTGTTTTGGGACAAAAAAGCCACCACCTGCATCAAAGCCTTCTGAGTACAATTGAGACTGATCCGTGTTTGTTGCTCATCATCAATCCTAGAAAGAAAAAAAGAATCACCCATTGGCTTAGGATAAATATAACTAAAGTGTGTGTGTGTGTACACAACTTGGTGTTATCAGCACCATGCTCTAACCAAGAGAGCTAACTGGCCAGCCCCCTAAAATGATCCACAATTTTAAGTAATCCACACTTTACATACCTGCTATAATAGGAGATTCGATTTACCTAAGGATTTAGCTAATAGAACCCATTTAATTCCAAACCAATCTATTTTCTAGAATAGTGTTCTCAAACTAGTACAACATCAGAATCACCTGGAGGACATATTAAAACATAATACTGGGCCCCACTGCTAGTTTCTGATTTGGTCATTCTAGGTGGAGGTCTGAGAATTTACCTTTCTTACAAGTTCCAGGTGATGCTGATGTTGCTGGTCTAGGGACTTCACTTTGAAACCACTCTTCTAGTACTGTTCTTAATCTCAATTGTACATCAGAAATTTCCTGCCAGCTTCTTAAAATGACAGCTGCTGGACCCTTCCACAGATCCAGTGAAACAGAACATCTATGAATGGGCTGGGGCAAACTGAATTTTTTTTTTTTTTGAAGTCCTAGACAGGGTAATTTTAAAACTTCATTAAATACGAGAATCACCTGGGCAGATTCTCAAGCAAACTCCATTCTAATTACATAGATCTGGGACGAAGCCAAAAAATCTGCATTTTTTTTTTATAAGCACCCCATTAATGACGCAGAGAGTCCTTGAATCACCCTCTGACAAGCAGTGTCCTAGAGCCTCTCCAAAAAGATTGGCATCAAGAAAGTTTTGTATTTAGGGTGGCCAGTTAGCTCAGTTGGTTAGAGTGTGGTGCTGACAACACAAAGGTCCAGAGTTGGATCCCTGTACTGGCCAGCCAACAACAACAACGACAACAAAAGTTTTGTATTTAACCATAAACTCTAAATACAACCATAGAATTCCAGAACTAAAGAACACCTTTAAAGAATTTGGAAGCATAGTTGTCAATATTGGAATCATCTGTGAAGCTATGAAAAAAAAAAGTAGGAAAAATAATGCCTTGACCCCTATCTAATGGTAAAAGCCAGATGATATCTGTAATATGGAAAAACTGGAACCAAACTAAAGAGTCCATCAGTAGGACGAGGAATGCTTAAAGAAACTACAGTACATCCATAATAAGAAACACTACACAGCAGTTAAAAATAATGAGATCTTATGTACTTAAATGGAAAGATCTCTAAGACCTCCTGTTAGGTAAAAAGGGCAAATAATAGCATACCATTTAGTTAAGAAAACAACGTGTAAAACAAAACTATACATTTCTTCATGTCCCCATATGTGCTTGGAAAGATACCCACTTGTCTGAAAACAAAACAAAAGATGAATTGAGGATACTGGGATTGAGTAGAGAGGACAAAGGGAACTTTTGTTTGAATTTTTCATGCTTTATTTATATAATTAATTCTTAGGGGCTGGTTGGTTAGCTCTGTTGGTTAGAGTGTGGTGCTCATAACACCAAGGTTCGGGTTCAATCCCTTTACCAGCAAGTTGCCAAAAAAAAAAAAAAAAATCAGGGCCGGCCCGGTGGCGCACTGCTACAGTGCGCCGCTTGGGAGTGTGACGGCGCTCCCGCCGAGGGTTCGGATCCCACATACAGACCGGTTCCCGCTCACTGGCTGAGCGAGGTGCGGGCGCGACGCCGAGGGTTGCGATCCCGTTGCTGGTCTCGGTCCGGTGCGGGCACGACACTGAGGGTTGCGATCTGTTGCCGGACACGAAAAAAAGACAAAAAGGAAAAAAAAAAAAAAAAAAAGATAACTTTTTTTTTTTTAAAGATGACTGGTAAGGGGATCTTAACTCTTGACTTGGTGTTATCTGTACCACATTCTCCTGAGTGAGCCATGGGCCAGCCCCATAACTTTTATTTTAATTTCTGTATTTACACAGTATTTCAGTATGGTAGAAGACATCCACAATTTAAATCTTCAAAGTCCCATGAATAATTTTTATTGAGATTCCCCAAAACTACTGTAGGACATTGCAATGATTTTACTATAAGGAATCTATGCTTAAAAACCAGTCACTGAAGAGATCACTTTCAATTTCAATGAAATAAAAATATTTATCTTTGTTTTTTAGACAATTGTTAGGTCCTAGCTTTGTATAACTTGTCTTTTCTGATGCTTCCACAGGTATTAGGATAAATTAGCCTAAAAGAAAATCTCTCTCTGCCCTAAATAACTAAACTATTGACCTTTTAAGATGCACTTAAATTTATTTTTCCTTTAAGGTGCTTGGTAATCATTGATTTGCTGGGAACTGATAAAAGTAAGCCTTATGTTATCACATCATTAGGGTCTGTCTGTATTCTCTAAAGTAAAAACAACAACCTTTCAACATTACCAGAAGGATTAGAAATACTGTACATAAACTGCATAGTATAGTCCCTGACACAAAAAATAGTAAGTTTTACTTATTTTTATTGTTTTGAAAAGATTCCATAATTCTCCTCTAGGACCCACATGTAATTGGTAAGTGGTACACTGCTTTGTAAACTAACCCCAAGGAAAATGATTTGTTTCAAACCTAAATACCAGGGTAACAGAGTCTGTAAGGAAGTTTCTTACAAATAAATACACACAAAAGAGGAAAACATATTGTACCTAGCAGGAAAAGAAGCAACAGAAACATCTACAATTCCTTTCATTGCAGACATGACTTTGTCCAGGTCTTGGGTGTGGTTAACGTTGAATTCTACTCGGTGGGTTCCTTCTGTGGGGTAGTTGGGAGCTTTGGAAGGATGTATGGGTCTGGAGGTACAAGCTCCTAGAGAAAAAATGGTGGGGAAATGGGAGTTTTTGTGGGTTGCTCTTGTGAGTTAAGTTTAAAAAGAAAGATAACTATTATAAGCTAAATTTATAAGAAACAACTTTTTAAAAAAGATTCATTCTCATATGCTTATATAACATACACACATATACTCCTTAGATATATATCACCAGTCCCCATGATCTAGGGATTTGGTATGGACATACAAAATCAAATTTTCAGAATTATTTTCCCAAAGACTTAAATTTGAGAAAAACTTGGACAAAAATAACTCAAGGATTTGTAGATGATATATAGAATTATCTACTTCTTGGTAAATCTACACATGTATACTATGATTCAGGTTGCAAATGCTCATAATTTGTATGACCACATTAATCCACGTCATATAAAAGTAAAAGCTTCAGCCCAAAATGAGTAAACTAAAAAGACTTATGCTAAATTCCCTCATTGTGCTGGGCATAAGTAAGCATTCAATAAAACCCTGATGTCTATTTAACTGACATATCACATGTATTCTGGAGAGACCTGACGTTTCAATTCAACAACATTTTTTGAGTGCCTGGGTACTAGGCACTGTGCCACATAAGTGAGGAAACCCAAAGCACAGTCCAGCAATCAAGATTTCTTATGCTCCCCCTATTAATTAAGAATAAAAATGCGGGCCGGCCCGGTGGCGCACTGCTATAGTGCGCCGCTTGGGAAGCGTGGTGGCGCTCCTGCCGAGGGTTCGGATCCCACATACAGACCGGCCGCTCACTGGCTGAGCGAGGGGTGGGAGCAACACCGAGGGTTGCGATCCCGTGGCCGGTCCCGGTCCGGTACGGGCGCGACACTGAGGGTTGCGATCCGTTGCCGGTCATGAAAAAAGACAAAAAAGGAAAAAAAAGAATAAAAATGCGAAACATTTTTTTCAAATGCAACTTTAGCAACCTTATTTTTAAATATATTATATAAAAATACAATAATGCCCCCCACCCCTAAAGCAGTTAAAACTTTACTGAAAAGACATTCTAAAATGTCAAAGTATTTGTAGGGAAAATATTAAATACGAAAGAAGAGGCTTCTCACCAAGCCCTTTAGCCAACCAGTTGTTAACTCCCTGGGGGGCAGCGTCATAGGCTGTGTGAGGAGAGTAGATACCAACTCTGTTCTCCAGAGCCCGGATCACCACGCGCTCCTTCCAGGTTTTCCAGGTTATGCGCTTCATGGGTCGGAAAATAGGTGGGTGGTAGGAGAGAATAAGATCTGCCTTCTTTTGCAGCGCCTCCTCCATCACTTCCTCTGTCAAGTCATTGGTCAGGAAGAGTGTGTTTACAATATGTGGTGGGCTTGGTTCCACCAGTAATCCAACATTATCCCAACTCTCAGCAAATGAGAGGGATGCAAAGTCATTCAAGGAGGAAAGGAGAGTCTTCAAATCCATGAAGGAACGGGAAGAATTGCAGATCAGGGAATGGACAGGCCGGACTGTTGTGGGGACCAGGCGTACACAAGATGACAACATACAGGAATCAGGTAACAGTGTCTGAAGTCAAAACACAGAAAGTGGTGTATACATGTGCAATTTAAGCCTAAATCTTTGAAGCATCAAAGCATATGGACAAGATAGCTGTCATCATAGAGATGTGTTCAAATAGTGGCTCTGCCACTTACTGGCACATTGTAGCTTAGGTAAGTCAGTTAACCTCTCATAGCTTGTTTTTTCATCTACAAAATGGAGATACTATAATCTACCCCACAGGCCATCCAGAGCAGCGATTGAATTAACGTCACCTAGCAAAACCTGGTACATAATACACAGATGTTTATCTCCTCCTCCCTGGCCCCACACACATACCCATGTTCTTATTCTCCCTATTTCTCTAAATACATCTTGACAAACTTTCCTTTTCAGTGTCCTTCCCCAGCCCCTCTCACCTAGTATTCTCATAATGTTATAACTCTGTTGGTCTGTCTACCCCAGTATGCTAAAGCTACTGAGAATAGGAACTATCTTTAATAAATCTCAATATTACCAGCATAGGCCAGCTCTTAATGCTTACTGCACAGACTGACAATCCTCCTACCCCAACTGAAACAGAATTTGGAGTTAGGGTGGTATACACTGGCATTAAAAAGTGTTTTATTAAAATATATATTTAAAATTGTAAGTGCTTTATCAGCAGTGAGAATCAAGAGACATATAGGTGGGTCACTCTATGAAAGGGCAAGGTCAAGGCAGGAAAACGCAGGAGCTGCTGTCCCTGAACCAACAACACCTGCTACACAAAGATCAGGTAGGTTCAAGAGGTGGGAGAGAGTTAAAGGTGTAGTGGTTTGCCCAGAAAGCCTGTAACCCTTCTAGACACACACATCCAACAAGAAACTGGAAAGGATGGCAAAAGAGAAAAGGTGGGATGACAATCAATGGGGAGCTAGAAAAAAATTGCTTGTTCTAAACTATGCAAACTGCAAAATTAGTCAATGTTTAATCACATAACTACAAAAGATAAACTTCGTATCTACAAACATGTGTTTTTTTTTTTTAAAAAAGATGACCGGTAAGGGGATCTCAACCCTTGGCTTGGTGTTGTCAATAACTACAAAAGATAAACTTCGTATCTACAAACATGTGTTTTTTTTTTTTTAAAAGATGACCGGTAAGGGGATCTCAACCCTTGGCTTGGTGTTGTCAGCACCACGCTCAGCCAGTGAGCAAACCGGCCATCCCTATATAGGATCCGAACCCGGGGCCTTGGTGTTATCAGCACCGCACTCTACCGAGTGAGCCACGGGCCGGCCTTATAAACATGTTTTTGAGAGAAAGTTTTTCATAGTACGCACAGTAACAAGAAAGCAGACAATTGTAAATTTAATGCAATATCTATAACCCAATTATTCGAAAGCAAATTATTTTTTTCAACATTTCTACTGCAGTAATATTTAATGAGTTGTGGATACTTAATTAATATACTACTTGAAGTGATGTAGGGCCTCCAAAAGCTATTCGAGGTCCTGAAAGATCTTCTGATGGTCCTAACACTACCCCGCTCTCCAGACACTTCTAAATCTGCTAAGCTCGAAAGTGAATCCCTAGTAGGCCAGCACGCCGGATTTGAGTTAATGTTACATTTGAAGAGCCCTTGGAAATTATATGGTAGAACACCCCCATTTCACAGATTAGGAAACTGCTAGGCCACACAGCTTGAAGCCACAGTTAACAACGACAACGGGAGGCAGAGAGCTTAAGATCACCGACTCTGAAGCCAGACTGACTCCCACTGCCACAGCTGTGCTACCACGCGCAAATTACTTCCGCACTCTCCCCCTCTGAAGAAAGGAAACAGTACCCTGCTCATAACGTCGCGAAATTTAAACGTAAAGCTGGAAACCGTCAGGGAGTGAGAACTGTATGCTATTGCAGAGTAGAGCTGGTAGGACCCCCTTTGCAACCTGCAAACTGCACCCTCTACGTCACCTCACCTATCCCTCACTTCAGTACCCCTTCAAGCCTTTACCAGGACGCCGAAGAGCCAGGAGGCACAGCCAGTAAATCCCTGAGGCAGGACCCCCATCCCGCTAGTGCCCTATGCTTTCATACGGCAGGGCAGCTTTCTGCCCCAATCTCTCCTTCTGCCCGCCGTGACATTAAGCCTGCCCTAACCAGGACCTGCAACGAAGGACGCCACTACCCTCGCGGATATTTAAACCGCCCACTACTCACCAGTCCCGGAAAATCCTTGTGCGTCATTTCCGGTCCTCCGGGGCGCTCCGGGCGTTGTGAGAACGGGCTAGGGGAAAGAGCTGGGCGGAAGTGGTCCTTTCTATTTTACAGCCCATCCCGCAGCACTGCTTGAGGTTGCCCAGGTAGTTCCGGGTCATGCTTCTTGTCCCAGTGTGGACAAATTACGTTGTATCCCCTAGTTCTAGTCGTTTTGGTCCGATTTGGGAAGAAGAGGGGAGGGAGAAGGAGATGAGGTGTAAGAGACGTTCTCTCTGATGGGTTCTGCGCTCAGCTGCCTGTGGTCCAAAGAAAGTAATTTCGAAACAGCAGAACTGAGCAGGCACCGGCGAGTGCATCTTTCCTGTTTGAACGACATCTCTGCCAACCGAAGTGGGCAAGCAATATGGAGTAACGTCCTCATTCTTCCATTCACTTATTCAGATGCTTGCTGAGCTCTGTGTTGGTGCTGTTTTAGTTCTTGTGAAACTTCGAGTGAACATGGGCGACGTGGGTGTTTTGGGAACGTCAGAGTAAATAAGGAAATAATATAGGGTATTAGTGAAAAGTGCTATAGGAAAAGGAAACAGGGCAAGTTCTAGGATTAAAGCAGTACTTGGAGGTGAGGAACTTAGCCATTCTATTGGAAGCATTCCAGGCAAAGCGAACACCCGTGCCTAGACCCTAATGTGGGAGCGTACCTGGCTTGTTGGAGGACTTGCCAGGAGACCCTTGGAAAAGAGTGACCAGGGGAGGTAGGAGATTGGAGGGCTTGAGTCGGGTAGGGTCTTATCATCTCTTCTATAACCGGAATTTTATTACGTTGGGGATGCTCTTCGAAGCTTTTTCTTTTAAATATTCTGTGAAGATGAGCGTGTGTGAGTTAAAAGGATAGGACAATGAGCTTAATTTTTTTTTTTTTTTGAAAGATTTATTTTCGAGCTTCTCTTGGTAAGACTTTGAGAAATTAAATAGTACTTCCTGAAACCGTCAAGAAGAAAAATGGTGAGTTTTGTAGAATTCTTGTGAATGTTCTTCATTGTAAGTAATGTTTAGAAATTCAGCCAAGGGAAATTTAAACTGCATGGAAATTTCAGTGGCAAGACGGAGATATACATACAATGTAGAATGATTCTTTAAAAAAAATAAGCAAAATTGCTTTAAAATTCTTTAATGTTTTCAGTTAAAACGCACAGAATTTACTGTTGTGAGGGAAAAAAAATGGATTACAAGATAGATATGGAAAGGGGGAATTGATGGAGCAAAAAAGAATAGGCCAGGTGTGATGATTTTAATTGGATACTTTTGCTCTGGATCTAAGGTGGGCAACTAGAACTTGAAATAGAAGAAAAGCAATGAGGGCAGTGCCCTGCTCTCCCCCCAACGCCATCCTCGTATTCAAACTGGCCATACTCTCTGACTGCTAGATACTGTTGTAAGAAGAGAAATGAAAAAGGAAGCCTCCAAATAGTTTTCTCCCTCTGTGGAACACAGTATCAAAGGAGTATACAACTTACCAAAAAAAAAAAAAAAAAAAAAAAAAAAAACAAGCCTAGTACAACAAAAAGCAAGCAAGAAAGAACACTATGGTACCTCTGCACATTTAGTTTATAGAACCACTGACACTTTTTATGTTTATTGTCTTTAGTCAGTCAAGGAATTGTTTTTTAACCCTGTTTCTCAGAATTCAATTATTTAAGGGAAATGGTGGAAACTATGTTTTGAAAAATCATTTCCTTATCATTTTTTAAATAAATATTAGTAATGTTGGTAAATTGCCATATAAATCAATAATACTAACATAACAGTTGTCTTTATTTTTATTGATGAATAAAATTCAAACTTAAAGTAATTACAATATTTGCTTCCAAATTTTTAGCATAGATACCACTTTACCCTAACGTTTGTATTTACCTTGCGGAGTTTTTTTCTGCTGTTGAAATAAATTTTGGGGAAGAAGTACAACTTGTCTCTCAGAGCTGCTGTGTGGATGGGTCATCTCTGAAGCCTATTTCTTTCTGTCTGTTTTAATTCAGATTTTCATCTTGAATATCCAGTCAGGGAAATAATACAGTGCATAAAGTCACCTGAAGAAATCTCATTTGTTCTCACATTCTTTATCCTTTTTTAGTCTGTGACATTGCATACAGATGTAGGTGATATTAAAATAGAAGTCTTCTGTGAGAGGACACCCAAAACATGTGAGGTGAGTATCATTATTTACATATTAAAATTCAGTTAATGCAACAGAATAACCATTTTGAAATTGAATCATCTAACCTAAACGACAGCAACAACAAAACTTTCTGTAAAACCATTGTCAGGAAAAACTAGTCATCATAACTTCTGGCCTAATTTCCACTTAATCTTTCCTGATGTCAAAGATGGATTAAAAAAGAAGGTAGATAATTTTCCTGTAAGCATAGAGTGGCCAGTTATCTTTTTCTTTTGGCTTATTTTCCTTAGGAAACATAATCATTAGGAAATGAGAACTGTTATGTATATTATTTCATCTGTTTAAATGACAAGACTAGAAGGAAGAGGAATCAGTTTGGTATATTCATTCATTCAACAATAATTTGTGGAAGGCTGTCTTGTCAGGGTCTGGGGATACAGTGATTAGTGAGCGACATTCCTTGCCCTCATGGAGCTGATATTCTAGCTGGGAAAATTAAATACTAATTCTAAAAGATGATAATTCCTTGAAAGAAAGTGTTGAGATAGAGAATAATGAGAAAGGAACTACTTAAAAGAATAAGGTAAGGGAAGGCCTAACCAAGAAAGTCATACTTAAATTGAGCCCAGAGATATGAAGGCACCTTTGCAGAAAGAGGTATGGAAAGAACATTCCAGGTACAGAAATAGCCTGTACAAAGGCCTCAAGATGGGAAAGCTTGCCCCTTTTGAATGAATTGTCAGAATGCTGGTGGTGTTAAAGTACTGAGCAGCAGGGAAGGGGATCTTATCATATGAGATGTAGAGGTAGGCCAGGTCCTGCAGGGCTTGTAAGGCCCTGTGGAAGATTTTGTATTTTATTCCAAAGGTGGAAGGAAGCTGGTGAAGTTTTTTTGGCAAGGAAGTAACATTATGCAAAGTAATGCCTTAAAGTCATAGTTTAATTATGCTGCTATAGTGTTTTCAGTAAGTATGATTGGTTCTTTATCTTAAATGTATTTCTGCTACATCATTTCTCAATCATTATTTTTACTTTCTTCAGAATTTCTTGGCTCTTTGTGCCAGTAATTACTACAATGGCTGTATATTTCATAGAAATATCAAGGGTTTCATGGTTCAAACAGGAGATCCAACAGGTAAGTTATTCCATTAACTAAGATCTAGGGAATTGGATGTATACTATGAAGAAGAGTGTAAACAAAGAATAGGAAAATAAAAGCGTGTGGAGTTTGTACAACTGGGCAACCTTAAAATAGCAAAAAAATTTTAAGCAGAGCGATTAACACCTATCCCTAAAATATGAACAATATTGATAAGACAGGTTATTCTTTTTTGTTCTTTATAGAAATATTTTAGTTTTGTAGTCTGTAAATTTAAATTTGGGGAAATATGAAAGCCACATCAAATATTATTTGTATTTAATGAGTTAAACTATAAAGTAGCCATTAAGTTTTAGGAGATGAACCATTTTTCAACTTTAACTAAATATTTCTTTTAGGGCTGGCCCATGCCTCACTTGGGAGAGTGTGGTGCTGATAACACCAAGGCTGCGGGTTCAGATCCCTATATAGGGATGGCCGGTTAGCTCACTTGGAAAGCATGGTGCTGACAACACCAAGTCAAGGGTTACGATCCCCTTACCAGTCATCTAATAAAAAAAAAAATTTTTTTTCTTTTGTTTGTCCTGTGATATAGGTACTGGAAGAGGCGGTAACAGTATCTGGGGCAAGAAGTTTGAGGATGAATACAGTGAATATCTCAAGGTATATCTCCAGTGCTTCAAAAATTTATTTTCTGATGCTTTGGTTACACTTTGAAACTTTGATATGTGTGTTGTAACACAGATTAACATCATTACTAAATGAATATACTTTTTTGTAGTTTTTGCACACTTGGTAAATGATGTCAGGAAGAAAATATAAATGGTAGTTCTAGCCTGACATGTATACCTGAATCTCATCATCACATGGATCTTGACACTAAATGAGTTTATCTTTGAGTCCAACCTGAAATGTTTAGTAATGTACCAAAGAGGCTTAATGTCTCATCTTAAAATTTATGTTAAATGATGTGAATCATTGGCTTTTTTTGAGAGTGAGGAGGAAAGACTATCAAACTTCCTGGTTGCAATATTGCACATTATTAATCCCTAATTTTTATCATCTTCTATTAGATATTTGAACATTTCTATATTAACTTAATGCCTGTGGTAGATCTCAGCTAGGTTAAAAAGAAATACATATAAATAAATCTTCACCATGGTAAAATTAGGGATTTTTAAATTTCCTTTTTTATATTTTTCTGTATTTTTCAAATTTTATGGAATCTTTTTTTCTAACATTAAAAAAGTAGTGCATGCCTACTTTAAAAAATCAGTTCCACTTCTCAGCGATAATTTCTTTTTTTTTTTTTTTTTTTTTTAGGATCCGAACCCGTGGCCTTGGTATTATCAGCCCCGCACTCTACCGAGTGAGCCCCGGGCCAGCCCAATTAAATTTTTTTTTTTCCTTTTTGTCTTTTTTACTGACCGGTAACGGGATCGCAACCCTCGGTGTCGCGCCCGTACTGGGGACCGGCAACAGGATCGCAACCCTTGGTGTCGCGTCCGCACCGCACTCAGCCAGTGAGCGGGAACTGGTCTCCACATGGGATCCAAACCCTCGGCGGGAGTGCCGCCACGCTCCCAAGCTGTGCACTCTCCAGTGTGCCACCGGGCCGGCCCCTCAGCGATAATTTCAATTAAGTTATTATATGGTCTTTCAAACTTTCATATCTGCATAAAATGATAACCTTATCATTAGAAAGAAAGTGGTAAATTCTCCCCAATCAGAATATGCAATTTAGTGTATTGTATTCCAGTTACATTGAAATATACCCACAAAAATGCTGAAAATTATTTCATTGTTTATCTCTGGATGATGGAATAATTTATCTTTTTGCTTTTCTATGGTAAGGAAATTCAGGAGTTAGAGTTACAGGAGTTAGAGTTAGGAGATGATAAACTTTTTGAAAAGTCAACCTTTACATGAATTAGAAACTAAACTTTTTAGGCATTAATTAATGGCTGCTTTCATGTATCAGTTGAAAACCAGTGATTGGCTGTGACAGAATCACATGTGGAAGTTTTTAAAATGTAAAAGATCCGGGCCTTACTCTCCTAAAAATAGAGATAAACAGTCAGTACGGCTGGTTATGACCTTGACTGTATTTTAAGATTCCCTGGTAATTCCTTTGCAGCCACAGTTAAGAACCATTATCTCATACATTAAGGTTGAGGATGTTTATTGAATGTTCACATACTCTGACCCAGCAATTCCTTCCCCAAATGTTTACTTATGAGAAGCTCATGTGTATGTGTGCACCAAGAGACACATGTACAGGACTGTTCCTGATGTACTATTTGTAATAGCAAAATTCTAGAAACAACCCATATATCCATTACTTATAGAATGAATAACTTTTAGTGTATTCAGTAGTGAAATATTACACAGCCATAAGAAAAAAATCAATGAACTACAGCTACATAGATACTTGAATCTGTGTAAAAAGCCATACCAGCCAGCCACAAAAAAAAGTGTAAAATATTTTTCAGAAGACTAAAATTGTTTAATACCATTTTATAGAGTTCAGAAATAAGCAAAAGGAAACAATATGTTGTTTAGGCATGTATAAATGTATTAGAATAGTGGTTACCTGTTGGAGAGGCCAAGGTAATGGATGGAGAGGAATACATAGGCATATGCAACAGTTTGGTAAATTTTAACACTGAAAGCTGGAAAATACATTAATGTGTGCTTATTGTATTACAAATGGTACATATATTCTTGTGTATGTATCAAATATTACATTCGATTGGTAGTTACCTTTTAGGAAGACAATAAAGCATTAATATTTTGATGTAGCTGCATCTCTATGGCTTGTCTAATTGGTGTCACCTGATGAATAACTAAAGCTAGAGTAATCAGTGGCATTACTTGGAGTGTATTTTATATTTGGATACCTTCCTATAACACAGTTCTCAATCTTGTTCAATTTTATCAGTTAGGTCCTTTTAATTCTTATACATAATCCCTTGTAAACAAACATCATGATATTAAGAGCTAGATGAGACCTTCCTCAGGTCATCTAGTCCTGAATTTACGAACTGACTGCCCGTAGGTGGAAAATCCACAGATGTGTTCCATCTAGTCCTGAATTTACGAACTGACTGCCCGTAGGTGGAAAATCCACAGATGTGTTCTTTTTGACCATCGGATAAAAAAAATGCTAATGCCATTAGGCGAGAGATACACTATTCATTTTGTCAGACTTCATCTCTCTCTAATGTTTACATTCTGCCCAACTGTCAATTTATTATCTACATGACCCTTATGAACATATTATGAATAGACCCCTGAACTAGTCCAACCGCCCTTGTTTTACAGATAAACTAGTGAGAGTACAGTGTATGTGAGAAGAGATTATGAGGATTTTGGTTTTGGTGTCTGCCTGATTGTTTCATACCAGCACATTATTCCTTAATATAAATGTAAGGATTATTTCTATTATGCATTGGTATTGCTAAGTGATTGTGGCTGTACTTCTTCAAAGTGAAAATGACGTTAATTGGGGAATATGGTTTGTTTTCAGGGATACAGATAATATAGAAACTGAACATTTGGATTAGCCCTAATAGAGAGAAGCTGGTTTTAAATGTTTTCTTGGTCCCTTAAATACTGGGAAAGAAAGAGTACATGTCTTGTTTCCATCCTGTATTTGGAATATCTCTATAAAAACAGTTAATACTTTGGTATGTCTTTTTCAGCACACTGTTAGAGGTGTTGTGTCTATGGCTAATAATGGCCCAAACACAAATGGATCTCAGTTCTTCATCACCTATGGCAAGCAGCCGCATTTGGACATGAAATACACAGTATTTGGAAAGTAAGTATTCTGGTTGTTTTCTCTGTCATTTCAGTGTAAGGAGTGCTATGGCTATGATAGTAGCATAAGTAATATTAGAAAGAGCAGTATGAGAGCTAAATGTACCTGGAGTTTTTATAAGTCCACCACTTACCAGCCCTGTGACCTTGGAAGTTATAAACTTTCTGAGCCTCATTTTTCTTATTTTGTAAAATAGGGGCCAGTAGTTTTGTCAGGATTGTTACATAAATTAATAGTAATATATTCATTAAGAATAGCATTTTAGGGCTGGCAGGTTAGCTCAGTTGGTTAGACCATGGTGCTGATAACACCAAAAGCCAGGGTTGGATTGTATTGGCCAGCCACCAAAAAAACCCAAGCATTTTGCTTTTTTTAAAAAACAAACAAAAACATTTTGCTTAAAAATAGTGGCTTAAATAAGATGGCCTGGCATGGTGGTTCCATTATGTCACCAATATTCCAGGTACCTCTCTCTTTTTAGCCATCTTTAGCTCCCATCCTCAAGTTCACATTATGGTTATAACATAGGGGCAGCACAGCTCTAGTCAAAATATCTGTATTCCAGGCAGGAGGGAGGAAGGAGGACAAGAGGTACTTGCCAGCTGAGTCAGTTCCTATTTTAAAAACTTTTCCAGAAGACCAGGCACTTAGGAATATGGCTACCCATTACCTACAAGGGAGAGTAGGAAATGTTGGGTTTTAGCTAGACACATTGCCACCCTCAATAAAGTCAAGTTTCTCTGAGTAAGAAGAAAGGGAGAATGGATCCTAGGAAGGTAGTTAGCAGTCTCTGCCAGAATATCCATTGTAAGCACTGTACCTGAGAGTTGCTTTTGTAAATCAGTGGGAAGTAAATTTATTCATTCAACAAATATTTACCATGTTCAATAAACAAGGGCACAGTTCTAGAGTTTGTTTTATTTACCAGTTTGGATGCCAAGTGTATAAGTCTTTTCTGTTGCTTATAATAGGATACCTGAAACTGGGTAATTTATAAAGAAACAAAATTTATTTCTTACAAATTCAAAGGCTGGGAACTTCAAGGTCCAGGGAACACATCTGGTGAGAGTCTGCTTCTTGGTGGGGAGACTCTCTACAGCAACTTAGAGTATCACATGGCAAGAGAAATGGGCTGAGCAAGAGAGCTAAATTTTTCACTTGCTCTTCTTATAAAGCCATCAAAACCACACCCATTACTCCATAAATGGACCAATTCATTCACAAGGGCACAGTCCTCACAATCTAAACACCTCTTAAAGGCCCGACCTTTCAAATACCATAATTGGAATTCCCACCCTCTTAATGCTATTACCATGGGGGTTAAGTTTCTAATACATGAACTTTTGGGGGACACATTTAGCCCATAGCATCAAGTTAGGTTAATTAATAGAGGACTCTACAACTTTTTTATTCCGTATATATTTCTCTAATTTATGCATTATTAATAATCAATGAAATTAATGAAATATTACAGTATCTGGTAATATGTGTGTATGTGTAGATAATCCATTTTCCCTTCCTTTTATTTTCTCTAACCCATCATTTGGAATCATTGATCAGTAATTTCCAGGACTTACTTTACTTGATATGTGACAAAACTGTAGAGTTTAGAACAGGATTAACCTTAGGTTCATTAGCTCCTTGAAACTGTGTCATAAGTACATGCACACACATTTTTCCAGGAAGATGGTCCCCAGCCCATGTCTGAGATACTTCACTAGACTTAACCTGTGTCAGTTCTACCTCCCCCTCCCCTTTTTTTTGCCCGAGATTTATGTTTTTTATATCCTTTATGTTTTTGCCCAGACAGTAGAAAAGCCTTTAAGACTCACAATTTAAAGACATTACTTTTCCTGCATTTAGGAGTAAATCAAATGTTTTGGTTAAAGTACTATTTTCATGAAAATGCAAAACAAAATATAAATCTTTCTTTGTTGTTTTTTAAGTACGTGGTATAAATCTTGGGAATTGATTTGAGTTACGCTAAGAGGTATAATCTGTAAAGACACTTTTTCTTAGCAAATGTTTTAGACTCAGGTTTCCAGAACAAGTATTTGAAGACTAGCTCTCGATATATTTTTTCTTGGTGGTAACATGAAGAAAGCTTGCTGGAGGTTGTCAGTCTTCTCTTCTCCTATTTTTATTATTATTCCTTATTGTTGTCCAAAAGCAAAAAGTAGAAACACCATATTAAATAAAGTACAAAGTGGCCACCTACTTCAGGACTCCATGTAGGACAATACTTATAATAATAGCGTCATTCTTACATACTTTCTCCTGGTATTTCCTATCAGAACTAAATTGTTGGACACCCAGAGAATTGGAGAATTGGGAAAACCCATGCATTGGTGTCAGAAGTGTTTTGAGAGTATAAAAAAAGTTCGTTTTCACTTTAGCTGGTCATATTAGCCCCACTTGTAGCTATTCTGTGTGACTGTATACGAATGGAGCAGAATATAATTGTAGATACTTTGGTGGGAATATTTCTGCCCTTTGTATTGTTGATTAGGGGCATGAAAATGAATTTTTTTGAATTTTGATCCATATTTATGGCAGAAAATCAAATCAATATTTTGTTGTACACTCAACTAGAGAATTCAAAGAACTATGACATGATCCTTTTCTCTTAAGGAGACTATAATTGCTATAGACTTTTGGATATTATGTTTCAGTCTGAGGAAATTTTTATACATTATATTGTTTCTTTTTCAGAGTAATAGATGGTCTGGAGACGTTAGATGAATTGGAGAAGTTACCAGTAAATGAGAAGTCATATCGACCTCTTAATGATGTGCACATTAAGGACATAACTATTCATGCCAATCCATTTGCTCAGTAGCTATAATAGATCTGAACAAATATTTGGCAAACTGTTCACTGGAACACACCTATTGTGGTTTACCCTGCTTACATAAAGCTGAGATCATCTGGGAAATGGTGGTACCAAGGGAAGCCCAACAGCCCCCATTCTTACAGCATATATTTTTATTACAACTATTATCATCCAATGTATTTCTTTAATATAAAAAACCTGCTTTTTAATTTTTGTTATAAATAAACATTCATTTTTAAATGCTGAGCCTCAATTACATGTCAGCATTTTTGAACACCCTAATTACATACTCCTATCCAGTTCATGTCCTGGAATTATTATTTTCCATTAATTATTAACTTTATGCACTTAGAAAGAGGAGGGACACAATAAAGAGATGGTTTAGAAAGGCCAGCCAATCCATTTGCTATTTTCAGTGGTCTTTAGATTTATAGTAGAGGCTCTAAGAAGTCCTGGTAAACACTCAACATTTCCCAATTGATTTGCTCATGCAACACTTTTTTAAAGCATGTATTTTAAAATATTGAAGAATAAAGCTCTACAGAAGATCCATTTGGAAAATGCAATGAACTGGTTATGAGCACCAGTTGTGGAATCCTGGTCAGTGTTTGAATCACACCTGTGCCCCCTACTGTGTGACTTTAGGCAAGTTAACATCTCCAACCTTTAGTTTTTTCATCCATAAATAATATTCCTTCGTAAGACTGTTGTGAGGATTAAATGAAACAATGTTTATAAAGCTCCTGGCACGTAGTAAATAAATGGAAGATACCCTCCTAACATATTCATGTCCACTGTAGATAGGGCTTTCTCACCTAATCAGGCCATTTATCAGGCTGTACAATTGATTTTATCAAGAACCATGTTTCACTCACTGCCTAGATCACCTTGATTAGATTTGGGGTATTCATAAAACTGATACCAAACATTTACTTCTCGGTTTGTCTCATTTCTCCCAGTGGATGATCTAATTAATGTTTTGATTCTTTCTTAACTACAGTTTGGGATTTAGCTTGCAGCTCTCCTCTTGTTACCATTTATACCTTCCACTAAACTGAGGTGCCAATTATACTAATGACCTCACATTTTGTTTCATCTTTTTAATTTTAATCATTTAGATTTCTAGAATTCTTATTAAAGACTTTCTCCGGCCAGAGTTTGTTTTGCTACTTCTTATACTTCATTCCTTTCTTCCCCAAACATATCATTGAATATTTTGTGGTCACTCTTAAGTGGTCTTTACTGATTGACTGTTAGGAGGACTTGTACTTAGAAGCATTCTCCCAACATTCTCCCAATTTTTATTCTAAACTTCCTTTTTTTTTTTTAAAGTGATGCCAACGTAGTGACGCTTTGGTTCTTAGAGCTTATTCTTAAGATGTCTGCTCAGTTACGGCCATCAAGATATCATACATAGGAAAGTATACAGGCTGCCAAAGTGATGCCAACGTAGTGACGCTTTGGTTCTTAGAGCTTATTTAAGATGTCTGCTCAGTTACGGCCATCAAGATATCATACATAGGAAAGTATACAGGCTGCCCACCTTGGGCCTAATGTAGCCACCACGAGGATCAAGGTCCAGAACGTTGATTTCTGTCAGCTCACAGTTTATTGGTCCACACTGATCACATTAGTGATTGGTTCCGTGTATTAATTGACAGAAAGTATAACTACTAAGACGACTAGAATATTGCTGATCAGCCTGTTTCTCTCCCCTTTAAGAAGGAAGTAGTATGGTTACCCATATAAACCAGAGGTTGGCAAGCTATACAGTCCTCAGGCTGGCTACGTATTTTTGTAAATGTCTGGGAACTTAGCCATGATCATTTATTTACATATTGTTTCTACTGCCTCTAAAAGCAAAAGTTAAGAGAAATTAAATTTAGGAGAGTTTACTTGAGCAAAGAACTATTTATGAATCTGGCACCATTCAGAACCAGAAGAGGTGCAGAAAGCTCCACCTAGCAACATAGGCAGGCATTATTTATTGACAGAAAAAGGAAGTCACAGAAAAAGCTTGATTGGTTACAGTTCAGTATTTGCCTTATTTTGGGCATGGTGTGATGAGGCATTTGCCTTATGTTGATATGGTCTGATCAGCTGGCAGCCTGTGATTGGCTGAGACTCAGCTATTTGTTACAAGAATATACTCTTAGGTTGCAGTTTGTTTACATACTAAGTTAGGTTACGGTTCATAGAAACTCAGTATGGAGGCAGCCTCAGGTCAAATTTAACTTACATAATGGTGGGAACTCAAAATAATTCTAAACCAAATCTAGAGGCTGGCCAGTTAGCTCAGTTGGTTAGAGCACGGTGTCGGTAACACCAACGTGTAGGATTCGGACCCCTATACTGGCCAGCCAGCTGCCATAAAAGAAAAAAAAAAAAAAGCAAATGCAAATCTAATAAATGGGGCCGGCTCGTGGCTCACTCGGGAGAGTGCGGTGCTGATAACACCAAGGCCACGGGTTCGGATCCCATATAGGGATGGCCGGTTTGCTCACTGGGTGAGCGTGGTGCTGACAACACCAAGTCGAGGGTTAAGATCCCCTTACCGGTCATCTTTTAAAAAAAAAAAATAATAATCTAGAGTAAATGAAAATGGAAATTTTCCAAAATTAATTACAATGAAAAAGGAATGACCCCGATTTTTATAAAGCTGCAAGTATCTAAAACTGGGATGGTGTGGGGATAAGGCTAGAGTAATACAACAATAGAGTAAATAGTAATGTATAATTAAAGCAGTATTCAAAATCATTACAAAAAGGAAGGGTTATTCCAAAAATTGTGTCAGGATAACTGGTAAAGATGTGGAGAAAAATAGCAAAAGAATTTTACCTTACATCATACAAATTCCAGATGGGTAAGTGTTGCTTTTTTAAAGAAAAAGCAGTAAAAACTTAACATTTTAAAAAATTGAATGTGAAGCCTCTGAAGAGGAAGGGAATTTATCTTAGAAACACCACAAAGGTAAAGATAAAGCAGTTTAGCTATATGAAAATCTAAATATTTTTGTAATTAAAAAACTTAAAGGACAAAGGGGAATCATTTTAAAAAGCAATGAGGTAAGAATGGCAAATCACAAGAGAAAAGGGGAAATGTTCAACTTTACTAATTAGAAAATAGCTACAAGTTTAGTTTTTGCCAAAATAACATTTTTTTTTCCTTTTTTGTCTTTTTTTACTGACTGGTAATGGGATCGCAACCCTCGGTGTCGCGTCCGCACCGCGCTCACCGGGAACCGGTCTCCACATGGGATCCGAACCCTCGGCGGGAATACCGCCGTGCTCCCAAGCGGCGCACTATCCAGTGCGCCACCGGGCCGGCCCCAAGATAACATTTTTTAATATTATGCTTTATATTAGTTAGGGCTGCCATAAAAAAGTACCACAGGCTGGGTTACTTAATAGAAAATTTATTTTCTCACAGTTCTAGAGAGAAGTCTGAGATCAAAATCTGGGTGGGCTTATTTGTTCTAAGTCCTCTGTCCTTGGCTTGTAGATGGCCATCTTTTCTGTGCAGTCTGTGTCCTAATCTCTTCTTATAAAGACACCAGTTCTACTGGATTAGGGCCCACCCTAATGACCTCATTTAACCTTAATTACCTCTGTAAAGGCTCTATTTCTAAAGGGTCACAGTCTGAGGTACTGGGGTTTTAGGATTCAGCCCATAACAGGCACTAAAGGATGCACTAAAATAGGTTATCTGATAAACTCTAGGTATTTCCCAAATTAGTAACTGGCTGGGTTTTGGCTTTTTACTTTAAAAAAAAAAAAAAAAAAAAGCTATTTTGCCCTGTACTGACCAGCCAACAAAAAAACCCCAAAAACTAAAAAACCATTTTGGAAAGCAATTTTTTTTTTTTAAAAGATGACCGGTAAGGGGATCTTAACCCTTGTCTTGATGTTGTCAGCACCAACAAACCGGCCATCCCTATATGGGATCTGAACCCCTGTCCTTGGTGTTATCAACACCACACTCTCCCGAGTGAGCCACAGGCCAACCCCATTGGAAAGTAATTTTGATGGTATGTGCTAAGATTTTTTTCGTGTTGATTGTCCTTGGCCCTGTAATTTTCCTGTAGTGATTTCTCCTAAAGAAATTATTTTAAATACACTAAATTGCTCTCTGCACGGTTATTTACTGCAATTTTTACCTATAATAGAAAATGGTTGATGCCCATCTTCCAGATTGTTGTTAGGATTGAGACCATAAGTAAGTGTACAACGTTTAACACAAAGACTGAGATCACTGTGATCAGCTATTAGCTTCCAAAGATTGGGATTCTCTAGATTTGCTTAATATTGTTGCTGCTATATATGTATATCCCAAACAACTATAGATAAATTTCACAAGTTACTGTGACTGAATTCTCCCTCTGTAAAATATTCACTTCATATTTAGTGATCTTGGCCATGATGCAAAAATTTAGGTATCGATGACTTTAAAGTACTTTCAAATCCAGTAAGAGAAGGAAGGGGCTTGGTTAACAGGTATAAAATTACAGCAAGATAGGAGGAATAACTTCTAGTGTTCTACAGCACTGTAGGGTCACTATAATTAATAACAATTTATTGTATTTTTTCAAATAGCTAAGAGAGGATTTTGAATGTTCTCAACACAATGACAAACGTTTGAGTTGATGGATGTGCTAAAACACTGATTTGATAACACATTGTATATACCTGTATCAAAATATCACACTGTACCCCATAAATTTGTACAACTATTATAAGTCAATTAAAAATAATTTAAAAATTCAATCTTTAAAAAAGAAATGTACACAACAGTAGGAATCTTGGGAAAGTGTATTCCTCATCAGACTTTACCCTACGATAGTTGTGCATCTGCATAGAAGTGGTTTACCTACATTGCCCTCCTGCCCAAATTTGCATTTTAATCATCAGGATTTATGAACCAGGCCAGTAAAATAATTATGCTTCATCGTAGTGTATCAGGATTTTTTTTGCAAGTGACGACATGGAAGGGAGCGGAGCACGGGGCCAAGACTAGCAGTTACTTTGTTAGGTCAAATAGCCGTTTGATGGTTATTGTTCGGCGTTTGTTTACTGATGCTCTTCTCCCTTCTCCACAACCTCACTTTCCCCTTCTCAGTTCATTGTAACACTGCAGAGGACTCGCTTAATGCTTTGAAAATGGTGTTTAAACGTGGGGAGGCCTCATTTCCTGGCTCCGGGCTTCCCCCCACCCCCCGCAACCCCGCTCCTTCTCAGTCTAGGCTCTTGCTCACTCCTTTCTTCGGCTTTGAAATAAACTGGTTTAAGTTCGTCTCAGAACCTTAACAAAAGCCGAAATCCAGCCAATTACCAATCTGGAGCTATTTGACGCTAGCGGTCTAATGTTTTTAAAGCATTGTTCTAATGGTCGCAGTCAGAACACAGGATATTTTGTATCCTGCTTTCCCCACTTTTCGTTGTTGCTAGCGTTCATAAATACAATTTTCAACAAACGTGGGCGCAGTTTTCCTCCGCGGCGCTGGCAGCGCTTTCTCCGAACGCGAACGCGAACACGGCCAACATGGCCGCCGCCAACAACGTCCTTTCCCCCGCCTCCGCTCGCGGTAGCTCCCTACCTGGCGCCTGCGCACCCGGCGGCCGCCAGCACGCCCCGCCCCGCGGCGTAGACGAGCTGGTAGCGTCATCTGTGTTTTCGAGATGAGTCTCGACGCTGCGACTGTCAGCTCCATTTTGTGGTTGGTGCCCGTCGCAGCCAGCTGGGCGCTTCCCGTGGTGGCGTTGCCAAGTTCTGTCTTCTTCGGCTCGCGGTTTTTGGCCAGGAAGGTGAGACGCAGTGGGGAGAGGACTGGGTGCCAGGGCCCTAACTGTGCTCGTCGCGAGCGCTGGCGATGCCCCGTTTTCCCCGCTTGTTTGCCGCCCGCAGTCTCCGGTACCACGTCCGCCTCTCCCCCCCCCCCCCCCCCCCCC